CGATCATTTCTTAATTTGCGTTACGTGGAAAAATGAATTTTTTTTTTTTTTTTTTTTTGATATTTGTTTAACTATTAAACGAGTAATTCAGAAAATAATTAAAAATTTAATATTTTTAACTTGTCTTTGATGGAAGGATGAAAGAAGTCATGTCGATTATTTTAATAAATAGTAATAATAAGTTGTTTGTAATAAAGAGGGAAAATTATTATGTAAAATGAAAGAAAAGAAGAAAATTATTACAAAATTATTAGTATATATGTTGATAATGATGAGAAGAATCTAGATTAATTGTTTTGTATAATATTTGAAGCATTCAATGGATATAGATATTTAAAAATTGAAAAATAAAATTGCAGATATATGAAATTTAATAATTTGTTGACAATGACTTGTTTTTTCAAGTTTTAAAATTTAATATTTGTTTTATATAAATATAAATATATATATAAAGTACTTTGTTGCATATACGTTTCTGAAACATTTTCAGAATCGTATAGATTTCTATTTGTATTTATTGTGTGTTTTAATTTTGTAAAATTAAGAGTTTATACATGTTTGAGTACGTGGTATTGAGAAATCAAAATATAGAACATGTAAAGTTCGTTCATAAAATAAGACATAAAATAAAACGTGTAATATACTATACATGTATGTATATCAGTGTTATAATATAATTAAATAAAAGAAAAGATTTCATTTGCATTGAATAGAACGTAAAGAAGAATTATTAAGATATGTTATGTAAGTGAATTTTTGTTTCAAAACGATTTTTATTGTACTCACATTACTAAATATCGTCTGGAACAATGCTAATAATAACTGTGGTATGCCTAACAATGAGTTTAAAGCATACCACACCAGTGCTGAAGGTGCTAACGGGATATCGAAGAAAAGTGCTGGGTTTTAATAGCTTTGTAACTATTGATTCGCCGAAGAATAGTTGGTAGTTAAAGGTTATTTTCTTAGCAGTGAATGAAGTCAGGAATGAATTTATGATTATTGGACGTGATGTGTTGAATGAATGCCGTTCAAGAAATTTCTGATTAATTTTTTATTTAAGAATTGACAACTTCTTCAAATTTATTGCTGAATTGTGTTTCAAAAATTAAATTCGAATCACTGAATTCGTTATTTGATATACAATTTTAAATATACGTTCATTAAAATAAAGTAATAAATAATATTTCTTTTATATCATAACAAATATCACTTTCGTTTTGTACTTAAACATTTATTTATTCATATAATTAAAAATATTATAACGTTATATCCCTCTCCCTTTTAATCTTATTTTAAATATATGTAATAATTGCAATGTCTTCAATGATTTGCAAATAGAGTTGAAATAAATAGTAAATAATTTTATTTACGTTAAAGTATAACTTAGAAATAAAATATTTTATTCGATAAATTTTTAAAATAATATTTCATTTAAGAATATCAAAAATATTTTGTCTTAAAATATCTTATTTATTTTAATTTATTTCCTTTATTTTAAATATTGTTGCTGAAAGCAATGGTTCATTTATGAGTATAAAGTACATAATATATAATTTCTTAATCTTCTTTTACATATATATTCATTGTATATTAAAATTGTGAAACGTATATCATTCATTGTGTATTGAAAATTATAATACAGCAAGCAATAAGAAAGGATCAAAGAATAAATCGAATAAACTATATTATTTTGTGGTTCAAATCGTTAAAATGAGAATATTATATTTGTCGAAATTATATTATTACATCTTATTTAAACTACTATTTAAGCCACATCTAAGATATTATAATATTTAAAATATTATTATATAATAACGCTGCTTGTAAATTAGTTTTTCTAACAATACATATAAAAAACAAATTTCAATTTCAATATTTTATTTTGAATTCTCATTTATTTTATTATTATTATTTTTTTTTTTTTTTTGTAAAGTACTAAATGTACTAAGTGTCCAATGACGTATATATAATAACATTTATTTACATTCTACAACGTAACAAATTTACGTACATATATCCAAATCAGAAAATCTAATAGAATCGTAATAACATATCACGAGAATGAAGATTTTTAACACTATTATCATTATCTAACAAGAAACGCTATATAACACTATTGATGATAGAATTTCACAGATTTTTTTATATAAATCGAAAGTACATATCACAAATCATAAAAATGTAAATTAAAAAAGGCTACTAAAAGATTCGACCTTAAGAAATCGACAAAGGGCGAATGAAGGACAGTAGAAAAGTAAAGAAAAAAGTTTGTTAATAATTATCTTTATCGTATAAAAATAAATTATAATAAATGAATGAATAATAATAAATTAATTAGAGAAAAATAATAACCATAAATAAAAGTAATACTAATCTATAAAATAATCTAATCGTTAAATGATACATTTATTTTATATTAATTTATTGAAATCATAACAATGGTTAATTATTTATTATATTTATAATAATTTTCTCAATAACTGCAACACTTTTCCTTTTATATCTCGACCAATGAGACAATCTAATTACTCAAAACTTAGTTTTCGTTTTTTTTAGAATAAAACGCTTCTAACATTTCAAAGACAATCGTGTCTCCTTCGAGTATTGTTAAATTTAGACAATTTTTTCTATTATTTTTTTTTCCTATAAATCATTATCTATCATTTATTTATTATCATTTATTACAATTTATTTTTAACTTTCTAACTTTCCTTCTATTTTTGTCGATCTCTTAAAGTCAGTCCAACTTTTAATACCATTTTTAATTCTCTTTTTTACGATATATATGTATTTTGTAAATAATACAAAATATGTGCACCCATATCGAGAACTTCGGTTCACAGATCAGCCAAAAGCACGCTCGAACGTGCAACAACCGCTCACTAACGTTCTCACTAACTTTCTACTCGATTCTCCCGTGATCCATCTCTCGCTAACCATCTTCCAGCAGCCGGCCGCTCGCAATTACCGGCATACTTTTTCAAACGGCCAAATCGCGGCGAATTAATCCTCCTCTCGCGCGTACACGCCTCTGCCCAATCGTTTTTCAACTAACGCGGCCCAGTGACCCGAAAAACGCTACATTGCTCGCGATCCCAATCGTTTCTCCATTCAATGTGAGTTTCTCACCTTTCGTATTTCGTTGATTTTTCGTCATCGACGAGGACGACAAAGGTGAGGAAGCAAGGACGCTCCTGCGTTCCTCCTTCCATCTCTACGTTCTCTCCTCCGACTGCTCCCGTTAATTATTCTCGCGCCCTTTTTACATTCTCGTCAACGACGACGAATCATTAATCAAGCGTGACGCGCCTGTGTCAGCGATCTAATTATCGACCGAAACAGACGTATGTATGCTCGACGAGATATATTGCGATCGAGGATATTAGACAGGTGGATGTAGATATGAAGATTAGCATTTTAGTGGATGGAAAATTTTTTATCTAGTAAAAAAGAAAAAGGGAGATTTAATTTTTAAATGGCTAACGTAGGGCTTAATCATTTTATTTTATTTGAAAAGTTAAAGATTTATAAAGTTTGTAGATATATTTTGAAAAATAGAAAAATATAATATAGGATATTTTAAGTAACTTTTTCGTCGTTTCCTTTTTTTTCTTCTGTGAGAGGAAATAAATAATGGTGAATTTTATGAGGTATATAAGAGTGGATTATAGAGTGCCAATTTTCGCATTAATGAGATATTGATACGAAAATTGACTTTTTATTATCAAAAAAATCATTAATTTGTAGAATTTTGAAAACATTTTTGTTAAATGATTTAAGATTTCACTTATCATATGAATTTTTTTATATCTAGTAGTGTTTAATTCATATAATGATAAAATTATATCTATATACAAAAATATTAATTTATTTTTATAATTAAAATTGATAATTGTTGAAATTGTTCGAAATCTTTTCCATAATACGTTTATGTAAATTCTTAAATTTACAATTTCTAATGTTTAAAAAAGATATAATAATATCTAAAAAAAAAAAAAGATATTTAAATAAAAATTTAATTCATCCTCTGAATATTATAATGAATGTAAAATACTTTATATTATATTTTTGCACTGCATTTATGTTATATTTTATGTTTATTTGGTCTAGTTTTCTTTTAAACGCATAAATATTTGTAATCTTGTCATAATAAATATTTTAATTTTACGTTTTATAAATACTTTAACCGTCTGGAATAAAAAAGAAAAAAAAGTTAAAAAGATGATAAATGCTTTTTTTTCTTCCTTTACATTTGTTAATAAATTACTCGAATTTGACTTTACGAGAAGTGTATTTATCGCGGGAATGCATAGGAGCACATAAAACATGTGTCGTGTATTCAAACGTTTCACTCGAAATCCGCTATGACGTTCATAAATAACCAGACCTCCACTCGTCGAACACGAACGGAACAGCCACGATCGTTTTTAATTATTTAACCAATCCAGACGGACGTTAATTACTCACTGTCCTGCCATGTTAAACTCTGTATGCTAGAAAATTTGCAAATAGTAGTGCATAGTGAAGTTTCAACGTTGCTGCGTTGTGATCATTTCTTTGAAATTTATTCCTCGTTCGCCAATTTATTACTTATTTTTTATTATTAAAAACAAAAAATAAAATTCTACTTTACTTTAAAGGTTAATTTTTTATCACAAATTAATCAGATATTAAAATTGTGCAGCACATCAAAAAACGTATTTAACAGAAAAGTATATACGTTTATTTTTGATTTATAAATAAAACGTAAATTGAACAAAAAAATTTTTTTTTCATTTCTGCATTAAAATATATTAAATATAACGTTTAATGAGCGAAAAAAATTTTTGTTCGATTTTCTTTCTGAAAGATCTTTTTAAAGCCTCATTTGTTTATAATATTTTTTAAATTAAAAAAAAAAAAAGAAACCAGTTTTCATAATTTTTTCTTTTTTTTGTTTTAAGTCTACTTTTCATTCATTCTATTACTTTTTTGTTAATTTCATTTTACGATTGCAGGTGTTATCTTGGTTTTGCAAAAAAGGCGAGGACGTGCTCACGAAACACGGGCAACACGCGGCGACGAACTTGACAGCGGCGCGACTTCACGAGAGGGAATTCGAGAAATTTTATTTCACGTCGATGGTGAGTACACTAGTGAGTGCACTTTATATTTTTTTTAGTAATAAATTGTATCTGTTCATTTTTGATATTTATATTATTTTAGAAAAAAAAAAGTCCAAGAACAAATTATAATCAAAAGTGTTTTGATCAAACTGACTTAAAATTTGTCACAAAAGTTTTCTTTTAAAAGAAAATTTACTTAATTTAAAAATCTTGATTTTGTACGTACTTGAAAGTTGAAATAATTCTCAAATTTTTATTATTTTCTATGTTTTAAATATAATTTTGTCCAAATTATTTTTTACAAAAGGATAATATAGCATTAAAATTATAATAATTGATTTTAATTAACTCTTAAAATTACATTTTTCAAATAAAAAATTACTTTATATACATATAATTCATTATGCTTACAATGTTTCGTATAAAACAGAATTATTATTGATTTTGATAAAATAACATGTTAGTTAAATTTGCATAAGATAAAGTGAAGACTTTTGTGACTTTTATGACTATATAAACTGATTAATAGATAGTAGCGCAATATATTCTATTGATCAATCATTTCATTGTACCAATCTCCGTCTGATCTGAAAAGCTGAATAATAATTACGAAGCACAAGCCCGATAGATATTTTATAGAAGCTTTGACACGAATGTTGCGCTAACTGTTTCAAATAATGGGATCGAAAGCAGCTCAGAATCGACCCATATATGTCTAGAGATTTCACTTTTTTCACGTCTCATCGAGCCTTTCGTCACGGTTCAATACGGAAGAATTCCCGACAAGAGGCGGTCGAAATGACTGAAAGATAATAAAAGATTTCTTTGTAGTCGATTGCAAGGATCACTATGAGTTTCGCAAACTTCCTCTTGTGTTACCGGTCGGATCAATCGAAGAAAAAATACACGTGTCTCGTTTAAAGAGAAAAAGAAAAAAAAAAAAAAATAATGAAAAAATAGGAGAAACTATATTAGTATTTGGTCTCAAGGAAGGCGTTATTATGGTTATTAGATACCTCGTAGATTGAATTTGATCGAAGATAAAGATTTCATTTAGATCGATTTAACAATCGAATGTGTAACGATGACTTTCAGATTTAGATGGATAGAAAAGATATGAGAAATGGTTTTAATGTGTCCATTCTAGTAAGCCATGTATATCATTGTTGCAAATGTGATTTTGAAACGAGAAAAAAATGATTTTGAAGAATATTATTTCAATTTGAATAAAGAATTTAATTTTTTTTTATCAAGTACAATTGAAAATAATAAAGATTAGAAAAAAAGATGTTAGAATAATCTATAGATCGATACTATTTTACCGACGAATGTTCCGTCGATAATAAAACTTTTTTTATTTAATTTTTTAATAATAAAAACTTTCAGTATAAAAACCAAAACTTAGATTAAATACTTACTATTATTATATATCAAGAGAATAAAAAATATTATATATAAAAAAAAACTATATAATATTCTAAAAAAAGGAATCTTCATAGATCTCGATCGAAGGATCGGTAACTTGATTTTCTAGTCTTGTGGTGCCGTCTAGCGTCACCTGATCCAAACAAGTTTCCTGCAATGCCGACCGAAGTGTACCGCATAAATTAAACTACTTCGAAAGCACATATGTCCATCAATGGCAGCGATTATTTTTATATCGCGACTTTTAAAACTACTGAAATCTCATTTACATTCCATAATGGTGCAGATTGAATCGTAATCATTAATTGGAAGACGCGAAAGTTGTTCGCTGACAACTTTCGCAATTAGAAATGTATTTGCAGAATAGTTGATTAGTCGGTGCAAACTGAGTGGATAGTAATGTCTAGTCTTATCAAACGATCGTATAAGCCCGTGTTCTTCGACGACATTTTCCGTTCGTTGATAACGGGGCCAACGCGACAACATGGCCTCCGCTTTCTGTGTTTCCCATTTTCTCGATAAACGATCGTAAAAAATACCAAACAACCTTGAATAGCAATTAAGTAAAAGTATATATGCGAAGAATGATCTATTCCCTATATTCGGACGATTTTTTGTCGCTTATCGCTGACGCATTTTATCGGTAACGTAGGCAGAATATTGTGTCATTGGATAATTTATATTTGAACTGTCAAGTTACGGCTGGCTTCGATAATTTGAATTTAAAAATAATATTATTTATATATATATATATATTGAATTTAAAATTTAAATAATTATTAGAATATTACTTATTCTAGATTATTCTAGGTTAAAATTAAGAATTTTTCGAGAAATAGAATTAATCTAATTTCTATTAACGATCTGTGATTCTTGTGAATATACTATACTAAATACATTTACAAGATATTTTATTTTCAAAATATAATATTTCCTTCTTTCTTTATCTCTTTCTTGTTTTTTAATTATTGGTTTAATTGTTGTTCCATTATTAAGTGGATGAAAAAGTAATATATAAATACGTTTACTAGATCAGTTTACTAGGCGTTGACTAATCAGTTTACTAAGCTGCAAATATTTATACATTTATAAAAAATTAAATGTATAGAAGTTTGCAGAATATTTATAATATACAAAAATATAAAATATTTTATAATTATCTAAAATAAAATACTCATTGTGATATTCGAAAAATGAAATCTTTATTTAGATTTTATTCCAATTGTGATAATGAAAATACAAAATTACATAAACAGTACTCTAATTATAATGTATAGTTCATAATGTATTATAGTTTTCAAAATCATTTAAATTTTTTCCAGATCTTGAATTGATTGAATTTATATACATTAATTTTATTATTCGTTCTAAGATGATTTTATCTTATAATTTGAAATTAAATCAAATTTTGTAAATACTAATAATATATCTAAATCTATATACCTAATATGAATATCTGAAAAATTTCTAATCTCAGATAAAAGTAGATCATTTTTCAAACACAAGATTACCACAATTATAAAATAAATTTATCACAAACAACAGTATACGAGCCACTTGAAATTGATTATCTTATAGAATTTTTCTATCAATCCAAAATTTCATCATTTATCGAGATAATTGATTTTCGTTACTAAAATTATCTATTTCTATTAAATAAATTGCTCATTGCTTCAAATATCACGACTCATCCCCCAAATAACAATTTTCAAAATGAAAATAACTAACAAAACGCGTTTCTCGAGTTCCTCAATTTACCAATTTACGCTCGACTTTCTCCCCGATTGATAACCGAGTTCAAGAGGCTCAAAAAGAGCCCCACGATCACAGCGCTCACTGGTTTCATCTCGTCCTATGGCAGGGGGCGATCGATTGTCGAGGAAGCACGTTAATTAATCATGCGGCACCCACTTCAATTATCCCGCGTTCCACGCGTCCCGTCGTTGGATCATTATCCAAACTGCATTGGACATTTCTTCGTGGCAACCACGTCCCAATGACCCCGATCAACGCATTGCCCACACGCTCCTGTCATAATTGTCAACCGATGATCGAGAAAACTGTTTATTTAGGTCGTTCGAACGGAACTGGGACCTATCGCCGATTTATTATTAAGCGATCGCAGCGCGCGTCCAACCCGATATTTGGAGCGTCCGGTTAATTGCAAAATGTCCAGTTAAAGAGCGTATCAATCGAAATGATCGTAAATTAAATCGACGATAAAGGTACCGGTGGAACGTGGACCGGTTCGAAACGTGGATGAAAACAGGGCGATATCGAACCACCCCTCTTGATCCAAATGCATCCAAAATCGTGCTTAAAATCGGATAATAAGTGAAAATTTGTTTTGAAAGTTATTCCGTCTATATAAGGAAAAGTGTATATAAGGAAATATGGAATTGAATTATGGAAAATAAATTGTTGTTTGTAGCTCATTTATAGTTGTATTTATGGGATCGAAGAAGAAATTTTCTGCTTTTCTTAAAATAATTAAATAACGTTTTAGCTTCAGAAAAATTAAGTTTTATTACAGTTTATATGAACGAAATTTTAATGAATGATTATGATTAGGATTATTAGGATTTATTGTGGATTCTTATTGTACAAATTATTGTTTATGTATTATTCCGCTTAACGAAGACGGATATCAAATATAAACAAATATAATTTTTCGTGTTATATTTCTATAAAAATGTTTTATAGTAAGTGTGGCATCAAACAAATTGATCGAAAAGAAGAGAAAAATACTTACACTTTTTGAAAAATCTGAAGTATTGAAGCATATCCATTTTTGCAATCCATTTGTGAACATAAACTCCAATTATTTGAACGAAAAATGATAAATAATAATCATAAAAATCATATTCATAAACAGAGTTCTATTATATTTTCTCTTTTATCGTGCTCCTTGTTTTTTTAACCTATTTACATTTAATTAAGTATGTAGATTTTATATCTTAAGTGTTGCACTATGGATAACACGGTTATTAAAATTTATCGACTATGAGAAATAATTTACTTTTCGAAGAAGAGAATTTTAGAATGTATTTCAAAATTTTATTTCGAACAAAAAGTGCTCGATCCTGTTTTGAAAATAATCATGCTAGTTTTTTTTTTTTTTTTTTTTTTTTTTTTTTTTTTTTTTTTTTTTTTTTGCTATTTACAATTTGCTTTCGCTTTTCACGATTGCGAATTTCTCCAAAATTCTTCGAGTGAAAGAGGACAAGAACTTCCAATTACTGCTCACGCTTCCCCTTTACGTAGAACACAAATGACTCGATTTAATTTATTCAATCGTGTCAACAATTGAGAAATCCAAGTGAAAAATTTATTTTCGTAAATTTAAAAAAAAAAAAAAGCAAAAGGAAAGTTATTATATTTATTTTAAGTGATACGATTCTATTTAATAAAGCATTTCCTTGTCTTTTATCTCTAATTTTTTATTACACTTGAACTATGGAATAAATACTGCTATCTCAAAAAAAAAAAAAAATTCTTTTTATATTTTAATATATAATATTCAATATATTATAATATATTGAATTATTATAATATATCATTATATATTTTATATTTATTTCTTTATATATTTC